TGCCGGGGGGAAGCCACTGAAGAAAGAGCGAGGCAGCCAAACTGCACATGTGTGCGCTTGCGCTGTTCGGCCGGGAGCCTGGATTGCTACCGAAGACTAGCGCTCTGGCGATCCCATGGCCGCCTTTGTGAAGAGTTTTCATTCTCTGTCCCTTTGTGAAGAGTTTTCATTCTCTCACTAGTCTTCCTAGCTTTATGTCTCTAGGTGTGACTTACTAGCAGGGTGCGAGATGGTAAACTATTGTCCTGCTTTGGCCATTCATTAGGTTTACCAAGAGCTTGAGTGCTCTGTGCTTGGCATTTGATGACTCCTTCCTCCAGCCCCCTCCTTTCTATCAGCTATGAGTTTGCGGTCTGGTTACTGAGAATACACAGAGTATGGTCCAAATGGGTTGCATTCCGTGACACATTCTAAAACTACAGGCCAGCTGTTCACATCAGAGGTGCACAGCACATCTGATCTTCCCAAAAATGTCAGGTAAGAAGCCAGCACCCAGTCATGCCTAGCTTTGTTCCTGTGGCACTGAAGCTGGATACCATAGAAATAAACTTGGTTTCTGGAATCGATATCTCTCTGGGTTTCTGTTGCCTTCAAGGAGTATGTCAAAAGTTCAGTTACACCTTTTCCCTATAACCACCTCTTCCACTCATATCCTGTCCACATTTTGTCCAGGGCAAACTTACATTCATGTATGTATGTATATATGTATGTATGCATATATGTATGTATATATATGTATGTATGAAGGCAAAAGCGTAAGCGAAACATAACATTGCCTAACTGCTCATGTTTCCACCTTCCTCCTTACTACCTTTGCATACTAACTAACAAAGCAATTTCTGTTCTAATTGTAACTTTGCAGAAGCTGTTCCCCAATTTTTCAGATGTTCATTCAGATGAACCCCCAAGCATGAACATCTGGGCTTTGGCCAGTTTAACTACTAGTTGCTTGCCCTGGAGCTGTGGTGGCTCAAGTGGTTAAGATGCTGAACTGCAGGCTGTGGAAGGTCAGTAGTTCAGCAGTTCGAGACCCGGGTGCCAAATGATGGAGTGAGCTCCCGTCTCTAGTTCCAGCTCCTGCCAACCTAGCAGTTCGAAAGCGAGAAATTGCAAGTAGATAAATAGGTACCACTTCGGTGGGAAGGTAACAGCGTTCCGTGTGCCTTGGTGTTTAGTCATGCCGGCCACATGACCACAGAAACGTCTTCGGACAGCGCTGGCTCTTCGGCTTTGAAACGGAGATGAGCACCGCAACCCTAGAGTCGGATTCGACTGGCTTTCGAGCAAGGGAACCTTTACCTTTACTGCTTGCCCTATCCCTTGCTTCCAGATGCTTATTCAAGGGTCTTCCAATAACTGGCTCTTTCCAGTTTAACTGCATTTAGCAAATCACCTGCTTAGAACATAGGCCTCTTTTTTAACCACACAAAATCTTCTTCTCAGCTATGATCTTTTCTCAGCTATAGCCTCTGAGCTTGTAGTTCCCTAGCCAAGTTGTTCTGAAGCAGGGGTTCCTGGATTCCTAAATTTTGGACCAACTATGTTTTAGGATTGGTAGATATCTTTTATTTCAACAATGGAACATGTAGTAAGGAAGCATTTGGAGCATGTGGTAAGGAAAGTAAAGCCCACACACCTTTCTCCAAGAAAGTGCACTGGCTCCTCAGCAAAGGTAAGCGAGGCATGTGCTGGAAAGAAAACACTGAAATGAATGAGCAGGGTTCAGATAGGTGGGCAGGATTTAGCTTGCTGCCAGACAACAATTAACTGGGGGTTGCAAAGCTTTCCGATTTGCTGGTGCATTCTCATCGCATAATAATAATAATAATAATAATAATAATAATAATAATGCTTTCGATTTATTAATCACTTTCCCCAGAAGTGGGCTCAAAGTGATTTACAGTTACTCTTTAGACAGGGGACTAACAATGTTTCATAGGGGATAGGGAAGACTACATATAATTCATTTTAATTGCTCACGCCGTAACTGCACAGTGGAAACGTTTCTGGCTTGGCTCAGTCATGTCCCGAACGGCTGCATCAACCGGCTTGATGACGCTTGGGCTTCAGGACCCGTATGTCGTGTCGCCACACTGCCACCGCCTGGCCGGAGCATCCCACTGCAGGGATTTTTTCGTAGCCAAGTAGATTCTTCTGCCTTCCGGATCCTGGACCAGGATGTCCCCAACTGACAGCTAACACCTTCCCAGAGGGGAGTTGGTGTGCCCAGCCTCTCTAAGGAGTTGTTCCCATTTTATCTACTCGCCGAGGCTTTCGAATCGCTGGGTGGACGATGAGCTGGGGACAACAGGCTGGCTGCTCACACCAGCGCGGGGCTCGAACTGACACAGTTCGGATGTTAAGACAGTGGGATATACCCACTGTGCCACCGAGCTGGTATTGGTTTGTGCATAATTGGTTTGTGTGCTTGGAAAAACAAATGAGCAAGCACATTCCTGTTTAACATACTGTACTGGTTATCAGAGAGGTGAATGGAGATTTGAAGTGCAGCAGAAAAATCATGTACGCTTTCATGGTATGCATTTCTGTAGGTATTTATTGTACATTTGATGACCTTAATCACTGCAGTTCATTGTAATCTCTAGCTGCACCAAAGCATTGAAGGAGATATGGAAAGGAGAAGCTGAACATAGTATAATGAAGACTTTTATCAGACTGTTTCTATGAACTACATTAATGCCTCATTGTTGGTTTGAAGAAAATGTTAATTGGTTCACCAACTCAGGATTTTAGGACCTATAGTCAGTACACAAGAAATGGGGTTACAACTCTGGGATGTAACCTGAACAGTGGCATAAAATAGGAGAAGCAACATTAAATTAGTCTTGTATAGGAGTTAGAGTGTCTGACTAGGAGAGACCCCAATCGGATCCCCACTCTGCCTGGGAACCTCACTGGGTGTCCTTGGATCAGCCACACACTCTCTGTTTAACATTCCTCACAGGGTGGTGAGGAAAAAATGGAGGATTGGAGAATGTTGTAAGCCACTTTGGATCCCCATTGGCGAGAAAGGTGGGGTATACGTGTAGTGAGTAAATTAATAAATGAGTATTTCTTTGCTTGGAGAAACCAGACATGTTTGTAAAATAGTATGCAAAACCCCTGATATTTGCTTTTCCAGGGCCAAAATAAACATGATGGAGAACTCATGGCTGCCATAAGTTGACTGTCACCATTTTACATTGATTATAAAATGCCATGAGGGCCTGATCCTGATTGGGCTCACAGACTTCTTCCTCCCCCTTTGGCTTTTCAAGCGCCAAACGAGCTGTGGGAGTGTGTGTGCTCTTTTGGCGCTTGAAAAGGTGAGGGGAAGAACCATGGCCTGGCAGCATTTTACAATCACTTTAAAATGTGGCAACAGTGAACTTTTGGTAGCCATGCTTAGTTTGGCAAGAAACCTAGTAGACAGCTAGCACTGCAACTTTTCATTGGCTCTTTGCCTGCAGTAGCCTCACACTGTAAAGCCTGCTACATTCTATAGCGTCAGTCAGCTGCTGTTTTGTACAAGAACTTCTGACTTTTCAGAATTTTAAATTTCAGGGACAGAATTCTTAAAGGTCCACAACTGTTCTTGACTACCCCTACTGCCAGTTCAAGGTCTAGTCACTGAACCTGCCACAGACATTGAAATGACTGATTATATATCTTATACAGATTCATTTGCCATTATCTGTATTGATAAGCACCATCACATTTAATTCTGAAGTCCAGACCCCCATGCAGGTAACAATAGCCCTAGGGATTGGGGCAAAGAGGAGATGGTTTTCTTCATGTTGGGGGGAGGGAATCTTCAGGTATGCATAAAAACACAATTTGCCCTCCCATAATCCCATTTTGAGACACTCCCCTCCTAAAAAGAGGTTGTTGCAGTCTGCACCTGCAGAAGTTCAGGTGTCACTCATCCTGGAAGGGTGTGCTGTCAGCCTCAGGTTGAGCTGCAGAGCCTCAAGGGAAATCAGAGAGAGTGGTGAGTGGGCAGTGGGAGTGCTGGGTGGGGCCAGGTGGGATCTGAGGGAATGAGACATGGGAATGTGAGGGAGTGGAGGGATCGGGTATGTGGGGAAATAACAGCCTGGGGGAAGAAAGAAAGGGAACGTGATGGCTGCAGAATGGGGAGAGGCAGTTAAGAGGTTTGTAGAGGCATTTGAAGGATGAATCTATTATGTGCTATGTTCACAAATTCAGTTTATGGAAACCAAATAACAGACCTCATAACTTGTTTTAGGTTTTAACAGATTTCTTCTTCTATGCTCACTGACTGGGCATGTTGCCAAGTTTTGTGGAGGCGATTAGTGGTTGCATGTTTTTAAATGGAATGTTCAACTGAATCCATGGCCATTACGGTCCTTTGCAACATGATATTTCCTCTCACTTTGAAATTGTTCGTGTGGAATGCAGGCTCCAAATTTTTTTCATATGGTGAATACCAGGCCTTGCTTTGTATAATATGAGATGGAGATTTGCTATACAAAACTGAAATGTTAGCAATCATCCTGCTAAGTGTAATGGATCAAAATTACATGAGAATCAGTGCACCATGGCCACTAAATGACACAGGGACACCAGTTAGGTTCATTAAAATGATAGGTAGTTCATGTAAGCATTTATGTAACTACATTGTGCAAATGACTGCGACCCTTTAGATTTCCAGTGTGGTTCTCAGTACATAATACCTTAACTATTTTCTTGCTCTAAGGGACCTCATCTTTTTTCCTGCTCTATGAGACATATTTACAAAGGATAAGTATCTTATGCAAATCATAGATATGGCAACCCTGATGAATCTATTTGGGTCTAAGTCTGGTTAGTAGCTGGATAGACGCCCACCTGGGAATTGCATTAAGCTCTGTGAAGGAAGTACACAATATAAGTGTAGTCTGAATAAAGAAAAATAACAAAGGGAAAATGGAAGACTTGAGTGGATATTTCAAGTTTGTCTAGTGTGCATTCTATTAATTTTTTTTCTTACTTTTCAGTAATGATGATGCGTTTAACCAGATGGCTGTTGCTCCTTTCCCATTACCCTCTAGCTCCCAGTCTTCCATTGAGGTAAGATGCTTTTTAAAATCTGTTTCCTAATTGAGGGAGATTAATCCTAATTAGGAACTTTAATATTATTGCAGATATTAATCTAACTAAACCCATCAAAAAGCACTGAGTGAATTCAATAGCACATGAATTTCCCATTTTGAAAAAATAGCTGGTATGGTACAAAGTAGTAGACACACTGCATTTCTTCATGAGACTCTAGTTAAATAATTCATAGACTGTTGTAGCGGGTTGAGGAACTTTTTTAATGTTGCAAATTAGATCTGTTTGAGTTAGTTACAGTTCAGTGTAAGAACACTTCCCTTCCTGGGAGTAAGCCCCATTGAATAGTTCTGAGTAGGATTTGAAGGAGATTTGCCCTAGTTACCTAGAGATGAACTTGGTTAAGGACATGACCTCTCATACAGTCTTTACTTTGTCATATCAAGGAGAAAGCAGACCAGTCACCATAGGCAGCCAATGTTTATTCAATGTTTTTTCAGTAGTGGGTTTTAGGGTTTACGGAGCATTTGTTCCATGTGTGTTAAGGATCAAATGCTTACAGATACCATGAAACTGATATTGAAAATTTCCATGTATAGTGAAGGAACTGCTAATGTGTAGACTATTGTACTGTCTAAGGTAGGAGTATGACATTAGTATGGATTTTGAACACTGTAAAAAAAAAAAGACTGAATTCTGAAAGCTGATGGGTTAAATTCTAATCTTCATTTTGCTTTTGTTTCTCTCTTTTGGGAAATGAACCAATGATTTTTGCATTGGCTTCTCTTTCCTCCTGCCAAATTTCCCCCATTAAAATTAACATACTTCTAATTTGTTTTTGGGGGGTTTACCAGTCACCAAAAAATACAACATCTGCCTGTGAAGTTACTTATGTGCCAGGAAACAAAGTGTGGGGTGGTGGTGGAGACAAGGGGTCTGCTTAGCCAGACACTTCCTGAACACTTCCAAATATGCAGACTACTGCTCAAGCCACACGCGAGAGGTCATTCTGGCTCCCCCAGCTCTCGGGAGGGGCTCTTTTAAAAGTTATGGCCGCCGTTGCTGTTCTCGGCAGCAGCTGTGACACCCGTGCGGGGGGAGGGGCGGGGTGAAATGTTCCCTTGCCTCCCTGAGCCCCGGGGTGGTGGCCTTGGACTCGTAGCGGACATTCCACCTCTCGCGTGTGATGTCGGCCATCACACGCGAGAGGTCATTCTGGCTCCCCCAGCTCTCGATAGGAGCTCTTTAAGAAGTTATGTCCTCCACCGCTGTTCTCGGCGACAGCTGCGACGCCCATGCCGGGCGGGGGGGAACATTCCCTTGTCTCCCTGAACTCTCGTAGGGGTAAATTCCACCTCTCGCGCGAGAAGTCATTCTGGCTCCCTTAGCTGTCCTAGGGGCTCTTTCAAAAGTTATGGCCCCCGCCTTCGTTGCTTCCGGCGGCAGCTGCAACCACCTCTCGCAAGTGATATCGGACATCACACGTGAGAAGTCATTCTGGCTCCCCCAGCTCTCGGGAGGGGCTCTTAAAAAAGTTATGGCCACCATCGCTGTTCTCGGCGGCAGCTGCAATGCCCGTGCGGGGGGCGGGGCGAAACGTTCCCTTGCCTCCCTGAGCCCTGGGCTGGTGGCCTTGGACTCGTAGGGGACATTCCACCTCTCGCGTGTGATGTCAGACATCACACACGACAGGTCATTCCGGCTCCCCCAGCTCTCGGGAGGGGCTCTTTAAAAAGTTATCGCCACCACCACTGTTCTCGGCGGCAGCTGCGTAGCCTGCGTGGGAGGGCGGGGCGAAACTTTCCCTTGCCTCCCTGACTCGCTGAGCGCAGGGGTGGTGGCCTTGGACTCGTAGGGGTAAATTCCACCTCTCGCGCGAGAAGTCATTCTGGCTCCCTTAGCTGTCCTAGGGGCTCTTTCAAAAGTTATGGCCCCCGCCTTCGTTGCTTCCGGCGGCAGCTGCAACCGCCGTGGGTGGGTGGGGGACTGCTGAGCTGCCCTCCCCACCTTTTTCAGGCTCCGGGCCTGAAAAACGGCCTGCAGAGCCGCCGCCCCCCCTCCTTTTTCAGGCTCCGCGCTAGAACGCCGGGCCTGAAAAAGGGCTACCCGAATGTCAATTCCGGCCCCATTATATCCTATGGGCCATTTTATTTATTTATTTATTTATACATTCAACTTTATATCCCGCTCGAACCCCTTGTCAGGGGGTCTCTGAGCGGCTTACAATTCGGTGCTAGTCACCATTTTACTACCCTAACTATGGCCACATATATTTGTAAGGGGCAGGGAAACCTACCGGCACCCCTATGGTGGTGGTTGGTAGTTGGTCCTGTTGGTTCCGGCGGTTCCTCAGG